TGTTTGTATGTGGTGCTGAGAATCGAACCTGGGCTGCACGCATGCCAGGCGAGCGCGCTACCGCTTGAGCCACATCCCCAGCCCATGGACTTTTATTTTATTTATTTATATGTGGTGCTAAGAATCAAACTCAGGGCCTAACACAAGCTAGGTAAGTGCTCTACCACTGACCTACAACCTCAGCCCCTATGTTGACTATTTCACTTCAACCACCTACCCAGTGTTTGTCTATCCTTTATAACCTCTTTCCCATTGGCTATCTGGCCTCTAGATGGACAGCCATCGTGACAGAGTCACCCTGGGGTGACCCATTTCAAATTGATGGTACCAGATAGCAGGAAATTATCTTGATATTGAAACACATTTTCCATTTGCCTTTAGTCCTCTACTCATTTATCTAGGTCTTTTATCCCAATTAAGCAAGTAAAATGGCCCTGCCACAAGATGGCCATTCAGATACTTTAAGTCAGGGATCATTCATTCCCTATGGATGCTATTGTCTCCAGACTGATAATTTCAGTTCTGCCACTCTTCTTTGACTGTAACTTAGTTTCAAGAGTCTTCATCATTCAGGTCAGTCTCTTCTGAACTTGTTCTAGTTTGTCAACATCCTTTAATTTATCATCCTATAACTTACTGGTCAACATGAGTTACAACCTTGTGTATAAGGAGGTCTAACATCTATTCTGCTTAGATGTTGGATGCGATGGCCAATCCTGAATTGTCAATTTGATTGGATTAAGTGATACCTAAGATTAAGAGGCTTCTGAGTGTGTCAATGAGGGTGTTTCTAGGAATGGTTGGCATGTGGGACAGTAACTCGAAGGGGAGACCCACCCTAAATGTGGGCTGCAAGGTCCAGTTGGTTGGGGCCCTGAATAGAACAAAAATGCAGAAGAATGAGGAAGCAACAGTGGATGCATACTCTGTTCTTCTTGAGTTAGTGCTTGGATTGCTATGCAATCACCTGAGGACATCAGACTCCAGCTCTTTCACTCTTCCAAAGCAGACTCTGACCAGTAACTCTCCAGGGAGTTTCCAGGCCTTTGATCCCGGACAGAAGCTAGACCACTGGGCCCTTTTGTTCTGAGACTCCAGATTCTTGGTCTGAGCAGCTACTGGTTCCTCAGCTCTCCAGCTTGCACACAATCACTGTGGGACTATCTAGTTTCTGCAATCTAGTCTAATAAATTCCCTTTTTATAATCATAAGAATATAGATTATAGACATCTCTATAAATCCTATTAGTTCTGCTCCTCTAGAAAACCCTGATTAATACACTAGATCACCTTCCTCAGACTGACATGAAACAGAATTCCAAGAGTGGACTTCCAAAAATGTTAAGTGATGCAATTAGTATGGGATAGGCATGGCTGATAGGATTTCACTGAAGAAGGGTAATAGTATTTTGCACAGATGAGCTATCTGCCATTTAAACACTTGTGGCCCTAATTCAGTACAATCACTTTGAACTACAGTACAGAATTCAAAGTTAGTAGGATGCCTAGATGCTACCCTGAGAGCTTACAAAGTAGTTTATTTTTTGCATAATCCAAAATAAATGACTTTCCTTGAAGAAATGTTGTTTTTAATGTATGGCCCTGAAAAAGCCAAAATCTCCAGTAAGAAACAAAAAGTTTTACACATCTGACATTTTTGTACCAGTTGTTTTCAGTTTAAATGATAAAAAGTTAAAAGAGGATGTGTTAAAACTGCAAATCTAGAGATTACTCACTGACCCTCTGGGTTTTACTGCCTCAAAAAAGGGGCTGTGATCCCACTACAGAAGAATAGTGTCAATTTGCTGGGTAAATAGTAATCTTGTCTCTTAAATAAGGCTATCCTCCCCCAAGTTTTTATTTTGAAATATTTCAAACCTAAGAAAAGCTAAAATAATAATGTAATCAATATCCGTTCCTGTCATCTACATTGACCAGTTGCCATTATTGTTTTTTGTTTGGTACTGGGGATTGAACCCAGGGTGCTAACCACTGAGGCACATCCCCTGACCTTTTTATTTTTTATTTTGAGATAGGTTCTCACTAAGTTGCTTAGGGCCTCACTAAGTTACTAAGGCTGGCTTTGAATTTGCAATCTTCCTGCCTTAGCCTTCAGAGCCATAGAGATTACAGGTGTGCACCACCATGCCCAGCTTACATTTGCCAGTTATTATCATTTTATCAAATTTGCTTATCTCGTATAGACACAGGTTCATTATGCTGAAGCAATTTGAAAGTAAGCTATAGACATCACAACACTTCACAAAAATACTTAAGCATGCATCTAAGAACAATGATATTCTCTTGCCTTGCCATAATACCTTTTTCTGAATGTGTCAGAAATTTTTAAGAAATTCATCAATAATTCTGTAAAATCACTTAATATATATCTATATTAAAAGCTCCCCAACTATCCCTCAAATGTCTTTTTAGCCAGAATCCAACCAAGGATCACTGTATTTGACCATTATTTTTATCCACTCATATATATATATATATATATATATATATTTTTTTTTTTTTGTAATGGGGATTGAACTCAGGAGCACTCAACCACTGAGCCACATCCCCAGCCCTATTTAGTATTTTATTTAGAGACAGGGTCTTACTGAGGCTGGCTTTGAACTCGCTATCCCCCCAAGCCATTGGGATTACAGGTGTGTCACCATGTCCAGCTATTCATATATTTTTGAGATGGACTTCACTATATTTCCCAGGCTGACCCCAGGGCTCTAAAGCTCATGTGATCCTCCTATCTCATTCTCCCAAGTAGCTGAAGCTATAAGTGACACCTCTGTGCCAGGCTATGTTTTTTTGTTTTTTTAATCTCTAATTTACAACAGATGCCTTCTATTTTAGTTTCTATTACATTGGCTTTTTTTTTTTTTGCAAGATCTTCTGTCTTGTAGAATGGCCCTCAGTCTGGATTTGTCTGTTTCCTCATCATTAAATTCAGTTTAAACATTCTTGAGTAAGAATATATCACATCACAGGTGAGATTCTATCACACCAGGAGGCACACAATGTCACTATTTATGATACTATGTTTGATCAAATTTGGATTAGACAGATTACATCAATTTAATTGCATATTTTTGCTTTTATAATCTGTATTATGGTACTTTTTTTTAAAGTGGTAATTTATTTATTTATTTTTGTATTATGGTACTTTGAGACCATGTAAATGGTTCTTCCACAACTTTTCATTTATCAATTGCCTGAGTTGATGACTACATTAAGAGCGATAAAAACATTAATATTCTAATTCTATTATACATCCCTCACTTATTAGCTGTGTCTTCTTTTTTAAAAATTTTTTATTTTTTTTAATTTTTATTTTTTTGAATTTCAAGCTTTTTATTTATTTACTTTTTAATTTTTTAATATGTATTTTTTTAGTTTTCGGCGGACACAACATCTTTGTTTTTTTTTTCTTTTTTTTTTAATTGGTTGTTTACAACATTACAAAGCTCTTGACATATCATATTTCATACATTAGATTGAAGTGGGTTATGAACTCCCAATTTTACCCCAAATGCAGATTGAAGAATCACGTCGGTTACACATCCACAATTTTACATAATGCCCAATTAGTAATTGTTATATTCTGCTACCTTTCCTATCCCCTACTATCCCCCCCTCCCCTCCCTTCTTCTCTCTCTACCCCATCTACTGTAATTCATTACTCTCCTTGTTTATTTTCCCATTCCCCTCACAACCTCTTATATGTAATTTTGTATAGCAATGAGGGTCTCCCTTCATTTCCATGCAATTTCCCTTTTCTCTTCCTTTCCCTCCCATCTCATGTCTCTGTTTAATGTTAGTCTTTTCTTCCTGCTCTTCCTCCCTGCTCTGTTCATAGTTGCTCTCATTATATCAAAGAAGACATTTGGTATTTGTTTTTTAGGGACTGACTAGCTTCACTAAGTATAATCTGCTCTAGTGCCATCCATTTCCCTGCAAATTCTATGATTTTGTCATTTTTTATTGCTGCATAGTACTCCATTGTGTACAGATGCCACATTTTTTTTATCCATTCATCTATTGAAGGGCATCTGGGTTGGTTCCACAGTCTAGCTATTGTGAATTGTGCTGCTATGAACATCGATGTGGCAGCATCCCTGTAGCATGCTCTTTTAAGGTCTTCAGGGAATAGTCCGAGAAGGGCAATAGCAGGGTCAAATGGTGGTTCCATTCCCAGCTTTCCCAGGAATCTCCAAACTGCTTTTCAAATTGGCCGCACCAATTTGCAGTCCCACCAGCAATGTACAAGAGTACCCTTTTCTCCACATCCTCGACAGCACTTGTTGTTGTTTGACTTCATAGTGGCTGCCAATCTTACTGGAGTGAGATGGTATCTTAGGGTGGTTTTGATTTGCATTTCTCTGACTGCTAGAGATGGTGAGCATTTTTTCATGTACTTATTGATTGATTGTATGTCCTCCTCTGAGAAGTGTCTGTTCAGATCCTTGGCCCATTTGTTGATTGGGTTGTTATCTTATTGTCTAATTTTTTGAGTTCTTTGTATACTCTGGATATTAGGGCTCTATCTGAAGTGTGAGGAGTAAAAATTTGTTCCCAGGATGCAGGCTCCCTATTTACCTCTCTTATTGTTTCTCTTGCTGAGAAAAAACTTTTTAGTTTAAGTAAGTCCCATTTGTTGATTCTTGTTATTAACTCTTGTGCTATGGGTGTCCTATTAAGGAATTTGGAGCCCGACCCCACAATATGTAGATCGGAGCCAACTTTTTCTTCTATCAGACGCAGAGTCTCTGATTTGATATCAAGCTCCTTGATCCATTTAGAGTTAACTTTTGTGCATGGCGAGAGGAAGGGATTCAGTTTCATTTGTTGCATATGGATTTCCAGTTTTCCCAACACCATTTGTTGAAGATGCTATCCTTCCTCCATTGCATGCTTTTAGCCCCTTTATCAAATATAAGATAGTTGTAACTTTGTGGATTAGTCTCTGTGTCCTCTATTCTATACCATTGGTCCACTCGCCTGTTTTGGTACCAGTACCATGCTGTTTTTGTCACTATTGCTCTGTAATATAGTTTGAAATCTGGTATCGCTATACCGCCTGATTCACACTTCCTGCTTAGAATTGCTTTTGCTATTCTGGGTCTTTTATTTTTCCATATGAATTTCATGATTGCTTTATCTATTTCTACAAGAAATGCCGTTGGGATTTTGATTGGCATTGCATTAAACCTATAGAGAACTTTTGGTAATATCGCCATTTTGATAATGTTATGTGGTGCTGAGGATCAAACCCAGGCCACACGCGTGCCAGGCGAGCGTGCTACCGCTTAAGCCACATCCCCAGCCCTAAAAATTTTTTAATACATTCTTTTTAGATATATATGACAGTAGAATGTATTTTGACATACTATACATAATGGAGTATAACCTATTCTAATTAGAATCCCATTCCTGTGGTTGAACATGATGTGGAGTGACACTGACATTCATATATGAGCATAGAATCATGTATGATTCATTCTACTGTCTTTCCTATTCCCATCCCTCCTTGCTACCTTTCATTACTCTTTGTCTAATCCAATGAACTTATATTTCTTCCCTGCCCCCCTTATTGTGGTTATTAGTTGATATTCTATAAGAGAGTCCTGCATTATGTTATAAGTTATATAAGTTAATGCATATAATACATAATATTATACGTTAATGCATATAAGTTAGCATTATGAATTCATGGAACACTAATGTTTTAAAAATAAATGCAATTAAGTTGACTATCATTTGAGGTAAATATGTTTCATATATGTGTATCACACATATAGAAAAAATATAAAAACGTAAAACCTACAAAAACATTTATATAAAATAGACCCACCAACATATACTTGTGGGATCACAAAACATATCAAGAAGGACACATGTTGGGGCTAGGGTTATGGCTCAGCAGGAGAGCACTCACCTAGAATGCGTGAAGTGCTAGGTTCGGTCCTCAGCACCACAGAAAAAATAAATAAATAAAATAAAGATAATGTGTACAATAAAAAATTATATATATATATATATATATATATATTTAAAAAAAAAAAGAAGGTCACATGTTATGGTTTAGATGTGAGGTGTCCTCAAAAAGCTCAAGTGTGAGATAATGCAAAAAGGTTCAGAGGATAAATGACTGGCTTGAAAAAATATCAACACAACCAGTGAATTAATCCCCAAAAAGGGATTCACTGAGTGGTAACTGAAGTGGGAGGGTGTGACTGGAGGAGGTGGGAATTCGGGGCTCTGGGGTATATATTTGTATCTCGGCAAGTAGAACCTCTCTGCTTTCTGATCACTATGTGAGCTGCTTCCCTCTGCCATACTCTTCCGCCATGATGTCCTACCTCACCTCAAGCCCCAAGGAATGGAGCCGGCCTTCTATGGACTAAGATCTCTGAAACCGTGAGCCCTCAAATAAACCTTTCCTCCTTTAAAATTTTCCTGGTCAGATCTTTTAATCAGAGCAGTGAAAAAGTTGACCATAAGAACATATAAGAAAACAGCGATTGCCTTGGGGAATAGGGAGAGAGAGACTTACTTTTCCCTATACTCCTTTATGTACGTTAACTATTATATCCATTACAAAATTTAATAGCTACATAACATATACTATTTACTAAATATAAACAAACTGCTGTGAGAAGAAGGAATACACTGATAGAGAGCCACCGTAGAACAGGCTCTTTCTTCCTGTCCCTCTAAGCTCCAAGACTCTTTGGGTAAAATTACAACAGGGCAATCATCTATAAAAGTAAGCAGTACTTTTCAAAATATAGATGTTGGGGCCAAAATGTACACTTACTTTCTGAATGCTTTCATCCACAAGTCCACCAAGGATGTAAACTTTGTTTAGGTCAACATCTTGAAGCGCTAATGAAAAAATGAAGGCCATTGAGATCAAATCCGTTTTATAATTTCAAAATCCAAACAAAGCAAAAGAAAAGAAATATTAACAATAAGTTGAAATTTAATGAATAGAAAATAAAGAATTTAGACTTGTTCAATGAATCCAAAAATTAATTCTCTAAAAAGACCAATAAAAGTCAGGAACGATAATGAATGCCTGTAACCCGAGCAGCTTGGGAGGCTGAGGCAGGAGGATCATGAGTTCAAAGCCAGCTTCAGCAAAAGCAAGGCCCTAAGCAACTCAGTGAGACCCTGTCTCTAAATAAAATACAAAATAGGGTTGGGGATGTGGCTCAGTGGTTGAGTACCCCTGAGTTCAATCATCCCCGGTACCAAAAAAAAAGACCAATAAAATAGACAACCTATTGACATATCTAATCAAGAAAACAAGACAGAAGGTCTAAATCAATATCAGATTCAGAAAGGACAAAATTAAAACTAAAGAGCAACATGCAATAATTAAAAGAGAACATTACAATCAACTTAATACCAATAAATTTGAAAACTAAGTGAAATGGATGATATTCTAGAGGAAAAAATATATATATGTTGAACACTGACCCAAGAAGGGACAATGAAGGAAGCTGACCAGAGGAACTGGATTGCCTGAGAATGGAGACCCTGAATCTGTGCGGCAGTTGATCACCTGAAGAAGCCTCTGCTCAGAAAAGGTGTATAGTTCACACCCTCTGCAAAGCAGTTCAACAAATGCCTTTTTGGGTACTTCTTGAGTGGCTTTAATAAATGGCCAGAGAATACTTAAACTAAGGGCTAGCAGCAAAGTGCTATACGAATCTGTGCAGTAAGATACATACCATGCTCTGAATCAGGAGTCAGGTACACAAGGGTTTCCAGGGGAAATAAACTAAAGCAGTCTTCTTCTGTTATATCCAGCTGGAAAATGCAAAGAACCCAATATGGTAGGAATGAGGTTAGAATGTGGCCCACAGTTCAAACAGCTAGTTACGTGGCATCTAGTTTCCATCAGGCACAGCTAGCTCTAAGTGTATCAAGGAGTGGCACGTCTGACAGCTTATTCTCAGAAAGTACTTGGTCAGGGAGCAAAGATACGTGAAAGGGGCTGGGGTTGTGGCTCAGTGGCAGAGCTCTGCTTGCCTCACACACATGAGGCACTGGGTTCGATCCTCAGCACCACATAAAAACAAATAAACAAAGATATAGCATCCATCTATAACTTTAAAAAAAAAAGACACGAAACTATGAAGTGAGACAGAAAGTGACGTGGGGCTCTCATGGAGGTACAGAGATCACACAGGACTACAGGTGAGGGAGTAACAACACCAGGGACAACCTTCTGGTAAAGGAAATGCTGGAGCTGGGTTTCTGCAAAAACAAATGGAAGAAGAATTCAAAGCAGACAAAATTGCCTAAAAAAGGCAGTAAGACAGCAATAAGAAAGAAAAGTAAGGAAACCATATGTAAGTGGGTCTGTTCAGCTTACATACAAGAATTATTTTTAAAAAAGTATACAGAAGTAAATCTGGAAGTGGCTGTACTACAGTAGGGGCTGTTCAGACAGTAACAGCAACACAGCCAGCTGCATAGTACCACAGAGCACACCCTGCACACTCACAGCCTCTATGGATCTCCATAGGAAGGCCACAAGTGCTCAGCCCTAGCTACAAAATGCAAACACATAAGGCAGTGTGTGTGTGTGTGTGTGTGTGTGTGTGTGTGTGTGTGTGTTGTGTATGTGTATGTGTTTTGCTGGAAACTGAATCCAGACCTCACAAATGCTAGGTAAGCACTCCAACACTGAACCACATCCCCAGTCCCCATGAGGCATTTTTAGAGTCATTTCTTAGAAACTGATCTGGATTCTCACTTGCATATCCATCATTTATAAGATCCTAGAATAAGAGTTTAAAAGTACCTTAATATTCCCTAAAACTCATCTGGAATCTAAACTACTTCAAAAAATATTCTTTCTTTTCCTCCAAAAATCATGTTTCCTGGTTTTGCACCCAAGAGCAAGGAAGAAGTTATGGCATTTCTAAAAATACTTCTGGAGTTTATAGTCTACCATGAGCTATACAGGTAGCAAAACAGTCCTATTAAATAGTGGTGATATTAGCTTGCCAATGCAGTGGAAGAATGAGAAAAAAATTTAAATGTTAATAACTAATAAGTTCTGAATTTTAAATTGCAATAGTGAAAAGATGTATATTACAGTGCCATCAGTACACATGGTGGACTGGTTCCAGGAACCCCTACAGATACCAAAATCCAAGGATGTTCCAGTCCCACATATGAAATGGCCTAGTAGTTGCACTGAAGCTATGCATATCCTCCTGTATACTTTAAATCATCTCTAGATTACTTATACTGCCTAATACAATGCAAATGCTATATAAACACTTGTTACATTGCATTATTCAGGGAATAATGACAAAAAAAAGTTCACACATGTTTGGTACAGAGAGAGACCAGCTGTATAACAAAATAAAAAAAATTTTTAAAAATTACTATTAATCCATGACTACTTTTTAGATAATTCAAAGAACTAGCAAAAAGATTCTTACCAGGTAACTAGAAAATCCATCATTCATCCTCAAACATTCTTCATAGAGGGGACTATCTGTCATGAATCCAGTAAGGCAGATCCAAAAGGGTCTGTCAACTTTTTTGTTTGAACCATACAACCTTCGGATCTGTCCAGCCAGCCTACTTAATTCCTTCAAAAAAATAAGGACAACTCAGGGTGGAAACATGCCAAATCACTCTCAATTCACTATTGAACAATCGCTACACAAAATGCTATTCCAGAAAATCTCATGGACTAGGATGGCACCTTTAACTCTAGAAATAAGTACATGCAAGTGTATTACACACCCTGTGATACCACACCTCACAGATGAAAGTTCAGATGATATCAACCCAGAAATGATGATTAAATGGAAAAACATTTTCCCTTCTGCTGACCCCACTCTTGCATATTTAATACATAAATTGGTTATGTCAGCTTTTTCCCCCCCAATTATTTTTTCAAAAATTTGTACTTTTTAGTCATACATGACAGTAGAATGTATTTTTTAAAGAATTTTTTTTTTTTTTTTTTTAGTTGCAGATAGGCACACTACCTTTATTTTATTTATGTGGTGCTGAGGATCGAACCCAGTACCCCATGCATGAAAGATAAGAACTCAACCCCTGAGCCACAACCCCAGTCAGTAGAATGTATTTTGACATAGCATAAGTACATGGAGTTTAACTTCCCATTCCTGTGGTTATACATGGTGTGGAGTTACACTGGCTGTGCATTCATAAATTAACACAGGAAAGTTATGTCCAAATTATCCTATTGTCTTTCCCATTTCCATCCTCCCTCCCTTCCCCCTATCCCCTCTGTCCCAATCTGATGAACCTCTACTCCCCACCCTACCCCTCCTCCTGTGAGTCAGCACCTGCATATCAGAGAGAATATGTGGCCTTTGGTTTTTGGAGACCGACTTATTTCATTTAGCATGATAGCCTCCAGTCCCATCCATTTACCAGCAAATACCATAATTTCACTCTTTATGTTTGAGTAATATTCCATTATATATATGTACCATGGTTATGTTAGCTTTTATCTTAAACTTTACCAATTGATATTTACTATTTAAGCTATTAAAAAGAAGCTGATTACTGAAATTTTTATATTTCTTCAGGAATATTTGGCATCTCTGCCTGTAACTTAGGGAGATGTCATAGGGTTGGAAGTTTTAATTTTCCACCTTCATTCTAGAATGGTTATCTCATAACCTAACTTGATTTGTTTGGTAGAGGAAAAAAGTCTTTGTATTTGATTTAATCTGCTATATCAAGTAATGTAACTAGCAGAGAATTCCTAGTTCACCTTTTCAGAGGGCTAGAGGTTCCATGTAAATCCCCAGATCTATAATTCTCCTAGTTTCTCTGAAAAACATGTTAAACACTAGCACATATAACAGGAAAGTTTGAAAACAAAGAGATTTGTTTAAAGTCTCTACTGCAGTATAAGGCCTAAAATTGAGGAACATTATATGCTGCCATGACTTCTGGTGAAAACAGGACCTCAAGTTACCTAATTCAAGTTCCCTTGCCAACTCTGCCTCTACAGATGAGATGAGGCTCCCTAGCTTAAAAACCCTTTTTATCAAGAGGATGCAGTATAATTCCTGTTTATCCTTGAGTAGCAGGTTTTGGTTCCTTGCCAGCTCAAGGAAAAAACTAAACGAACTAGTCATATCTTCCTATAGGAACCAGGAGACACTTCGCCCCCTTGATACCACAGAGCCCACATCCCATCACCCTGGCTGCTCATTTTATTCTCAAGTACAACCCCTTTTGTGGCTTCGTGGGATGTGTAAAATACTCCTCCCTAAGGCAGTGAGTATATGAGACTTAAAAAACTGCTGTTAATATCTGCTGTCAAATACACTTTTTGTATCTGACCATCCCCAGAACCCTAGAGTGAAAATCCCTCCCTCACCAATGGGATGAATGAGAAACAATTAAAACATACACTGAAAGAAAAACTTCCACCAGGTAACCACCCCACAACATACTACCAGGTAAATAGTCCTCTTCCCAGCAGAAGGCCAAAGATTTAGGGTCTGGAGAATTGAGCCTGAAAGGTTCCATCCAGACTAAAGACACCATGAACAGAGAGATAAAGGTGGTGGGCTCAAAACAGAAGACAAGGTAACATCTGCAAATAAACCAATGGATGTATGTTCTCTTCCAGATTCTTTCGAACAGCCATATCAGAACTTAGTAGCCCAGTGTAGAAAACACTTTGGCTGGATTACTAAAGAACTACAGAAGCTGATGATGAATACTCTTCATAAAGGCTGTACCCTTTGGATCTCCCTCAGGTAAGCAGGAATTCCAGGCTTAGTGCATGTTCTACCTTCTTTGACATGTGATGAGTCATACTCAAATCGATACACAGTCTTGGTCCTGAATGTTTGGCCTCCAAGAGTTTTTCTTTGGTTAAGGCTCTCAGAAATCTTTTGCTGTGCTGGGGGCAGATGCCTATAGCAAAAATATCAGAAAAAAGAAATGGGAAAACAGGAATAATATTCTGTAAAAATAGACTTCCCAGGGCTGGGGATGTGGCTCAAGCGGTGGCGTGCTTGCCTGGCATGCGTGTGGCCCGGGTTCTATCCTCAGCACCATATACAAACAAAGATGTTGTGTCCGCCGATAACTAAAAATAAAATATTAAAAAAAATTCTCTCCCTCTTTAAAAAAAAATACTTTCCTTTTATTTTTGCACATAAAGAGAATCTTTTTTTAGAGAGAGAGAGAGAGAGAGAGAGAGAGAGAGAGGGAGAGAGAATTTTTTAATATTTATTTTTTAGTTTTTCAGCAGACACAACATCTTTGTATATGGTGCTGAGGATCGAACCCGGGCCCCACGCATGCCAGGCGAGCGCTACCACTTGAGCCACATCCCCAGCCCCCATAAAGAGAATCTTGAGACTCATGAAAGGTATTGTTTCATTCATTAGATTTATGTCTAACAGAGTGGTGAGGAGTGTGGGATCTGGAGCAGACAGTTGGGTTTACATCCAAGTAAGGTCTATTCATTCATTAAATTAATTAACTTTAGGCATACGATTCAATTTCTCTGAGTCTCTGCTGCTTTTCTTACAAAATGGAGATAATCATTCCCCTTAGAGAGTCCAGTAAAATTTTTAGAACTGAACCCAACACATAGTACTGTGTAAATGTTAGTTGCTACTGGAATCTTTACTTCTGAGTTTATAAACACATATGTCAACCAGACTGCTTATATTTAAAAAGCAGCATTCAATTTTGCTTTGATACTTTGAAGCCCAACAAAATCAGATAATGGGTCCTACCTCCCAGATAATTGTTTTTCCTTAAAACATAATTCCTACTCTCCTAGGAACATGAGGACACGAGTTTGCTAAAAAATAAATGATTACATCAATAATCTCATTAATCATTACCTGTATTTTCTACACGGTTGGCTTTTCTTCTTTCTTTTTCTTGCTTTCTTTTGCTCTTCTTTGCTGCAACTATCTTTTCCCAGTGTCTCTGTTTTCTCTGGACATTTTTCTTATGTTATCCAGAAAAAAAATTGTTTGAGAACTTCATAAGCAACAAAAAGGAAAATGAATATTAGAAAGTTACTTAATTGTTTTTAAAAAATTATTATTTACAGGTAAAGTTAGGAGAGAAAAAAAGATTTCATCTTAAAAACAAACCTAGACTGGATTGTTTAGAGAAAATACAGCCCTGGAAAAGATATGTGACCTGGTCAATGTCAGTAAAATTCATCAGGGACAGGACCTAACCTACAGTTTAGATTCCCTGACCCTTCTCAGGTATGTAAAAAAATTTCTTTTGAACTTTATCTACTTTTCCCATGACTCAAATGAAACGGAAATATTATGATGAGCAGAAAATTAATTCACTATTTTAAACATACAAAAATCATTCCCAGTCTCTTTTTATTACTAGTAACTACCCCTGAAGCAGGGGTCTTGGGGACAATCAGTCCATCACTGAAAGCCCCCTGCACTCACCGAGCACCATGTTGCACTGCTTGTGGGGAGGGGCTCCCTGTCTGGGCAGTCACATTCCACATCAATCTGCAGAAGCTGGAAGCTTTCAGAGAGTCCATCTTCACCTATGTCTTCTAGGATGCCTTCTTGCCCCTGCAACTCTGGTGACTCTGTTCTCTGAACACTCCTTTCCAATTTCCAGTCCATGTGCCAGTCTCTGTCCTTTCAACCAGATTGGAAAAATACAAAATTACGTGAGATAATACACTATTTCACTTACAAGGCTAATTCCCTATATCCAAAAGATAAATAGTACTACTGTGCTGCTGATGGAGCAAACAGGTGTAAAATACTGACCCCTATTTATTGACCTAAGAAAAGCATGTGTCTTTCAGAGAAATATCCAGCACAGAAGCAGGTAGTAAGGAAGCCAAACATACTTCTTTAAAGACAAACATATTTCCTGACAACTCCAAGTAATGGGTAATTATTCCTTTTTACTGTGACACAGACAGCCAAGTTATTTATTGTGTGAGTGTTCTTTCTGAAATACACTGTATGACTATGTTTCAAACAATTTACTTTCAAACCAGTGATTTAACAAGTACTTATTAAGCATCTACTACATATAAGGTCCTATACTAAAAACAGCATGGGAGAATGAAGAACCAGCCAAAAAATATGGTAAAAAGTCATGAAAGCAATCAAGAATTCTTCTAGGTTTTGGTGACTATCAAAATTCTTCAAACTATATACCACCCTCTCCAGCTGTGTGTCACTGCAGCTGAAAGCCAGTCACCAGTGTGACTGTTAAAATATCCCTTAGAAATGCTTTGTTGGAAAATATGGAGAAGCACTGTAACAGCTCACTTAAGAAATGATGTCATGATTCGGGTAATTTCTGATCTGAGAGAAAACAGGTCAGAAATGTTCTATAGTCAAGTGTCAGAGACCAAGAGTGGCACAAATAATGCCCCTGGCTTGTTCAATATGCGATTCATGTATATGATAAAAAGACCTATTTCTGATGAAAAGTAATGATCTTCCGTCCCACCTGCTTCCACCTCTAGTGGCAACCCTCGTTAACCAGTTATTTTTAGTTCTAACTCCTTAGCCTTGAAACTATATGCTTACACATGACTTCTTGATTCATCTGCTTTGAACTTACCGGCTTCGAATGATACTTCAAATCACTTAAGCAAATCCCCCTCACATTTGACATCTTTTATTAGTTTTGTTGGTTGTTTTTTTTTTTTTTTTTTTTGCTGTTGTTATTGTTTTTCTTTCTTTCTCTCTTTCTTTTTGCGGAGCTGGGAGTGGAATCTAGAGCCTCGCGCAAGGTAGGTAAGCACCCCACCTGCACAAACCCAGATTCCAGACCCGGGAGCACACGGGGCCCTCCTGCCCCGCAGGCCGTGAGCGCAAGCGCGAGGGGTGGCAAGAAGGGGAAGCACTAAGAAGGCAGCGTACCGCGGTCACTCGACCTCATGTCGCCACCGGCCAAGAGCATGCAGACTCTCCCATGCTGAGCCTCTTAACTCCTACCCCACCCGGAAACGAGCCCCGAACATACCTGGGGCCAACGCCTCACGCAGCAGCAGCGGCGCACATCTGGCCCCGCCCCGTGCCCACTTCCGGTTCCGGATCCCGCTCCGAGCAGCATCCTGGGAATTGTAGTTTTCAACTTGGCAGCAAGATGCGCAATGATCTATTATTTTTAAAAATTTTTTAACATTTATTTTTTAGTTGTTGGTACACAATATATTTATTTTATTTTTGTGTGGTGCTGAGGATTGAACCCAGTAATTCACGCATGCTAGGCAAGCGCTCTACCTCTGGGCCACAATCCCAGCCCTTTTTAAAAATTTTTTAAAGTGGTAAATGGACACAATACCTTTATTTTATTTATTTTTTATGTGGTGCTGAGGATCTAACCCAGTGTCTCACACGTTTTAGGAAGTCTGTCCAACACTGAGCTACAACCCAAGCCCCGCAATGCTATTCAGAACCTAGATTTCCTCATCTGTTAGTCGAAGATTACAATCCCAGACACTTGCCAAAGGTGCAGGGCTCCTGTAGGTGACCAGGAGCCTTGTTGGCTGTCAAGGGCTGATCTTTGCCAAACAGGTGAAACCATGTCTTGAATCACCATCTCTCAGCCTAGCGCTCCCCAACTCCCCATAGCCAGCAGGGTCCACAAGCTGACACAGCCCTTCTCTGAGCACATAGCCTCTGGTCACTCTCCCTCCTCCATTTCCCTTCATAAATCGATGGGGACACTGAGACTCCAGAGACATGAAGTGACTTGCCCAAGCCTTGTCTTGATAAAGACTACTAGCTACTCTTTCCTTCACTCCTGCAGTCCTGGGGGAATGCCCTTTCAGAGGGACCCTACCATAAGCAGGCCAGAAATATCTCCTCAAGAAACTAAGGCCTGGCTGGAGCCCTCCTTGGCCCATTTTCTCCTCTGGATTTCATTTGCACAGTTCCCTGCAACCCATGCTTCAATCCACTTTTTAACCACTAACACAGAACATTGCTCCCCAACTCCCATCCCCATTAAGTCTTTTTCTAAAACCCAGCGCTATCAGCTATTTGCTCAGAAGCTGGCCCTGGCTTCCTACTGCCTGCTTGCAGTGCCTCAGTGAGGCCTAAAAAGTGGTTCAAATGACTTTCAATGATCCTTTCATGCCTGAGCTCACACCACACCTGCCTATTCCTATACCTCAGACTCAGCCATATTGAACAGACCCGTCATCACCACCACCAAGCTCTTGTGTCCCTTCATCACTGAATGAGCTCTCGTGGCTATTCTCCCATGGAAAGCAAAGACATTCTGGTTGGTGTCACTGCTTTCCCATCCCCACCACATCGGTTTGCTGGATGATTATGCATCCCCTGCTCCAGATCCCCCAGTGGCTTCCCAATGTACTTACATGTAAAATCCAACCGTCTTTCTAAGGCCTTGAACTAATAGGTTCCTGCCTGCCCCCCCACTCTCATATCCTCTTTGTCTTCTTCCCTCCAGTTCCACTCACTGATCTTGAAATGCCTGAAAAACACCAAGGGCCTTTGCACATACTGTTCCCTTTCCTCTCACATTTTCCATGGCTGGCTTTTATTTAGGTCTCAGCTCAAGTATTTCCAGTCAGAAGGGCCTTTCCCATCTACACTAGGTAAGACAAGCTCTTCCTATCCCTGTCTTGACACCTTCTTTGTTTTTAAAAATCACTTTTCAGTAATTTATTTTTTTAATATTTATTTTTTAAGTTATAGGCGGACACAATATCTTTATTTTATTTTTATGTGGGGTTGAGGATGGAACCCAGTGCCTCACACACACTAGGTGAGTGCTCTCCCTCTGAGCCACAACCCCAGCCCAGTAATTTATTTTTTTTCCTCTTATTCCTTCTAACTATAAGTTCTTTGAACATGCCTGACATGCTCGCATTTGTATTCTTAATGCCACTGCATAGTAAATATTTTTAACAGAATAAATTACTTTTTTCCTTTCTTGATAGATCCAAATCCTAACTACCAAATCTGGGACCTGACACATAGTAGATACTCAATAAATACTTCCTGACATATTAGTTCTAATGAATGCCACCTCCTACAGGAAGTCTTCTCTGATTGCTGCTCTGCTTCTCACCCCCAAAATGACTTCTCACAGCACTTTATCTCCTCTCTTTGGCAACCTTGAGTACATTGTGCCTTATGTTTTCGGTCTCTTTCTCTATATGCCATGTAACCTCCAACAGGAGCTCTTGAAAATAGGATTCTCACCCAATTACTTACATCCATAGTCTGGCATCAGGCATCACCTGGCATGGGTGTTCCATAAATGTTTGTTGAAAGAGACAAAAATCAGTTGATACGATGGTGGTTGGGAAAAGAAAGGAGGGGTATACATGTCCAGCAATTTCTTAGTCATTAAACAAATGACTCTTGCACTGTAGGGTAGGTAGCTTCATCCTGCCTATCTCATATGTCTCAAAGAAAGGGCTGACTTTCTTTGAGACTTCTCCTGCATTACCTTCTCAACAAGCAGCAAAAAGTTCCCACCACTTTTGGGACTTAGTCCTTCTCATAGGAACTATCCAGAAAAAGACCATCTTCATACAATCACTACCCAAGAAAGGTGAAGGATTTGAAAGGATAGGAGGAAAAGAAAGAAGAAAGCACACACTTCCTGAGTGCCTCAGCTGGAGGCTTCAATCCTCCTTGGCCTCCATGACTATTCTCACAAAAATGCTGAATATATAGTATATAACAATCCCTGGGATATTGGTCATGTTAAAAAATGTTTTCAGGCTATCTAAACGGAATGAGTTAGATATTATAACCCTAAGTACATGTATGAAGACAAGAATGGTGTGAAAACACGCTGTATACACTCAGTGACCTTGAAAAATTGTGCTCTATATGTGTAATATGAAATGAATTGCATTCTGCCATCGTGTGTAACAAATTAGAATAAATAATTTAATAAAAAGGTATTCAAGCTATCTAAATAAGGCATCTGTTCTACTAACTAAGTGGAGACTAGTATTATTTCCGTTTGTCAGATGGGGAAACTGAGGCCCAGAGAAGTGCCTATAACACCACAGGCCACAGCCAGGATCCAAGCCCTGGTTGAGAGAAATTCTAAGCGCCTTTCCTAAACTCATGAACACGTAGGCTCTGTTCACATAAATAAGTTAGTTGACTCTTCATATCCTTCTAATGGAGAAAGTTTCAAGACCTATTTAACATCTTATGTCTAAAAAAAATTAATGCCCTATTGTTCCTATTTTCCTTACCATTAAATTACTTTGAATTTGTGTTCAAGAGCCTCATCTAAATTGTATTCAGAATATTATGTGGAAAGAAATAGCCCTCTAAGAAAATAAATCTTTTCTTGGTGCAAGTACTGAACAGGTAGTTACTCGTTAACAAGTAACTGATAACGGTTCAGGAGAGAGATCTCTTTCTCTCTTCTTCCAAGTATTGCTTTTCTGCTGACTGCAGAAAGCTGAGGAACATGATCTAACATACTCATCCCTGATCTTGCTTTTGCTAGGTGAAGGGGAGGAACCAGGGAGTCGACAGAGGGGAAGCTCTGAGCCCAACTGGTCAGGAGTACCAATAGGACAATGGCACCCCTTTAGTCACTTTTATTAGCCCAAGGTGAGCCACTGAACCACTTATGGCCTGGAGAGAGAACCAGGGCAAAACATTTCTCAAAGGAGTCTTAAATGTCTCCCAGGAGTCTAAGAATAAAATGTAGGGAATGGTTTCAGACTAGGAGAGCCATTCATAAATGTTGAGTTATTACTAACATTGATTGAGAATCTATTTCCTAGATCAAAGTCCCATAATGTGGAAAGTGTCAGCATCTCCAATTACAGAGGGGAAAATCAAAACACTGAGAGGTTAAATAGCTTGTCCAAGGTCCACTGCCGTTTACTAAGATTAACTGGTTCAGCTGGGATTAGTTAGAAAGGTACTGAATGTATTTCTTTTGACCTAATATTATTATTTAAAAAGCACATCTGACTGGAGCTTTAGAATTTGCCTTTTATATATTTAAAAATGGAAATGGGGGGGCTGGGGTTGTGGCTCAGCGATAGAGCTCTTGTCTAGCATGTGCGAGGCCCTGGATCCTCAGCACCACATAAAAATAAATAAATAAAGATATTGTGTCTAACTAAATATATATATATTTGTGTATATATATTATATATATAAATATTATATATATATATATAAATATATATATGAAATAGATTCAAGATTCAGGGATGCAATTTCAGATCAAGTACAGAATACACCTGCCTGTGGTTGGCTGTACAACTAAGGAACTTACTGCCACCTAGTGGCAACCTATGTTGCTACAGTGAGACAGCCAAGAACACTAGGCCTCCTTGGGTGGGTTGAAAACCTGGGAAGGTAATCCATCCAATATCACCCCATATGCGAAGTTTATTGTCAAAACCAGTATGACATGAGAATGTATGACTATCTTTTATAGTCGCCTCCATATTTCTCCCTCATTCCTGCCTATTTGTAATTCTCAAGCTACTAATACAAGGCCTGGCACAAAATAAGTATCCTGTGAATGTTTGTTGAATGAATATAAAGTGAGTGCTTTTGACCCATACTTGTTATCACTCAGTATGATTCAGGTCAAGATTAAGCAGCAGTTTATTTGAATACTCTGTATAGTAAACATTTGAATGGGGGCAGGGGGACTGGAAGCGGGGGAAGTGTCCATGGAAGGGAAGGGGCCCCTGGGCAGTTGATCTGCTCATAGGGCAGTGGATGCCCTGAACTTCTGGGTCAAACAGAACACAGCAGCCGTGAGGGCTGTGCACTGACGGGCCAAGAGTTTCACACTCAGGTCATGATAGCCTCTCTCACAGGTCAATTTTGCAGCCTCCACGAACTGGTGGTAGGTGTACACCACGTCCCTCAGGTTCCCAGCTGCTTCCCTGTGCCGGGCAGAGCAACGGCTGCAGTCCGTGAACTGGAAGCACAAGCCAGCCAGCTGGACCAGGTGCTGGAAGGTGTCACACACAGCACCCTGCATCTCTTCAGGGGACTGGTCCATTCTGATCACATGCTGACAGCTCGAAAGGAGTTTCTGAGAGCCCATGCAGAGGCGGCTCCGGCTTTCTGAAAAGTACCAGGTGCACTTTTCTGGGGGGTGTTTGTTTCCAACCCCCCAGGAAGCTTCTAGGATGTC